AATGTCCTTATGGTCACATGCTGACACAGTCAATGCTTTCTCTTACCTGAGCAGACATTTTATATATGTTATAGGATGCCCTCCAAGAATTCCTGCATTATGCCCTGTTGGATGCAGAGCAACTCAACTCTGTAGCTCTACCATAAAGCACAAGATCTTCTTAAAGTTCTTTAAATATGCCTTTAGAAAAGTAATTTTTTTCGGGACTGTTTTTCTATAAGCAAATGAAAAAAGTCACAGTTCAATGAGGCATGCTTTTTGGCTCTCACAGCTTCATTTTTCATTCTGGGTTACATTTCAACAGACTCTTAAATTCAGGCTAAGGAACTGCAACCCTTGTTTATCCTACTTCAAATCTGACTCAAAAAAATTCCAACAAAAAACAAAGAACCCTCAGAGGATATAGTTACAATGAGCCAGTTATATCTGATTGTTTATCAAACAGTATGCAGATACTATGACACAAAACATAGTCAAGGCCCATTGTTTTGAGAGACGCACCACCTGTAGAGCTTGTCATAGCACACCACTAATACCTCCTGTAGAATTCAGAAAGCAAAATAAACCCTTTTTACTAATAGTATTTGTATTCCTGTCCAAAAGTTATTTTAAACCATTAGCATTAATGCTTTGGAGCACTGAAAAAAGATCAAAGCAGAAATAGAAACTATAACTAATAAATAATCAAATTATGCTACCAACTGTATCCCTTTGCAAGTATTACTTGCCTTAAATATTGCATTGAGAAAACTTTCCCCAGAAAATATCAAGAATGTCATTTTATCACAGCAGGTATGCAACATTCTTGGATTAATAATGCTTTATAGCACAATTACTTAGATATAGTGTTTTTTCTGTTCAGACCATTGTTTCCATTTTGCTTAATGTAGGTATACTGTTACTAAAAGTTGTAAACAGTCTTTTAAGATGCTAGTGCTGCTGCTGTTATGAAACCTAAAGGGTTTCAGCATCAGATGGATTTTGCCAGGATAACCTCCTAGGCTATATGAATTGCTTTACATGGATTGCACTTTAAATCTCATTTGATTGCAAATGTTTCAGAAAAAAAGAAAAAGAGTGCTTTCTGGTTTAATCACAAACCACAACAAGTTAAGTGCACATAATAAGATTTGTCCACTTATCCAGTGTGAATAGCTAGAAAGAATTGTTGAGTTATGAGCTGGCAGCTTTAGAAGTGGTAAAGAAACAGAAAGGAAAAAATTACAGAAAATCATCCACACTTTTAATGTTCACCAGTTACTGTGAAAATAATAGCTTGTAGAGTTTCTGCTTAGCACCAGGGCATTTTGGTAAGTCTATTACTATTCTGTTTAAGGAGTTCTACCTTCCAGTTTTGCACGTTTAACTTACTCTTGTTAAAGAGCTGCCTGTTTTAAACGCAAGAGAAACACACAACTAAGAGTTCAGCATATACAGACTGAAATGTTCAGAAATTCTGTTATATTTTAACTGGAGATTTGTCACTGGTGGTCTGTGAATCAGGTTAAAAAAGGTATTATGTTAGAAGTCCAATCAGCCTCCTTGCTAAGCTTTCCAGTCTGCACTTGGCAGTCATGTGTGATGGTGGGAAGCGACAGAAGTATGATACAGTTTGTGTGGCAGATAAGAACTGGATATTCAACAGTGTTAACCACACCAGTAAGGGAAATGCAAAGCACATATATGAAGGTATAGCTCCTTGGAGCTTTCCACACACTGATGTTTCCAGATGCCATACTAGCTGGCCTGGTCCTACCAGGCCTTATTTGGATAAACAAGAAAAACAGCTGTTCTGGGTTTAGCAATAAAGGATGCTCATCCTTCCTGTAGTAGGCATGCTGTGGCTTTCTCTAGGAGCTTCAGTATGATTGATCACAAACAAATTTAGTGTAGATTTTAAGTGCTAACTGACCCCTCTTTAACTTCCATCTAAACTGAGTATTATTTCAAAATGAAATTGACCATAACCTTGGAAGATTATCATAAAGATTAACAAGGCAACCGTAAAAATCCTTAGACATGACTAATGATGACAAATCTTTATGTGGATCTACCCATCTTTTCAGACAGCCTACCGAATGAGAAGGCATCAGTTCTCTTACTGCCATAAGAAGTTATGCAGATACTCTGAGATCCTGCTTTGACTAATACTGAAAAATGTTGAGGCAGTTTGACAAAGTGATTCTACTAGAAGTATTCCTAATTTACATAACAAATGGAGTAATTTTTTTGTTCAGCAATTAAACATGATCAAACTACGTTGTTAACAATTGATACCTAGGGTTATTCCCTAATGCTCAATGCAGACATAAAAATTTGCAGAACCAATCCACTGCAACCAATGTCAAACAACTGTCATTGATGCTATTTGTAACCCATTTTTCAGACTGATCACTTGAGCTGTGTTATTGCTTCTGCTTCCTAACTGGCTTGGTGTAGTTCTCTAAAGAAAAAGACAGCATTAACAACATGCTGCAGACATTCAGACATTTTATTCCTTCCCCAAGCAGTCTCACAAGCACCTACTCTCACAGCTTTTAAAGACTTTCTGCTGCTGCGAGCATTCTTCGACATTCTTCCACACTTGAAATTTATGTATTTCTGTTCCTGGGTACCAAGTGAAAAAAAACAGGAACAAAGCTGAATAGAATTTGCTGGTATTATGCCAGTGAATTCCTAACTATATTTAATTGCAGAAGTCACCCAGTGCTATATGCTATACAGATTGCCTTGTCCCATCTCACTCCTGAAACTAAAAAATTTAAAGCCTTAACTACCTCAGATGAAACTCTGTGGAGTCTTGAAGAAAACATAGATATATAGGCCAAGTTCACATTGAGCAGAAAGTACACTACAAGGAAGAGTTAAAATACCTCTGAAACCCATGAAGTCCCATACATGCCCACATAATAAGGACCTGCACCACTCCAAGGCCTCGAACACAGGAAAATAATGCTCTCTACCCTTCTATCACCTTTTCATTTCTATCACAAGCCCACATAGATGCCCAGTATGCAGCAGACTCTGGAAGAGAGTTAACTCTTGCTACACCATCAGGTATTCTCTTGAATAATTTCCTTTAAGGCAGGTCCTTGTTCACCACAACAGCCTCAGTAATTAGGGCTGGATTTCCCATGTGTATATTTGTGTCAAATACCATTAGCTAATCTCATTCTTCTCTTCAATCCTATATCAAGAGCCAAAACCAGCCCAAAGGTAATGAACCACAGTTTATTGACAGTTCTGAAAGGCCATGCCACTGAATAAAGTGGTTAGTACATTCTGGAGACATTCAACAGCAGGTTTTAGTTCAGTGTAGCACAATATTAGATGATTATTCCCAAACGTGTTCACATTTTTCTATCCTGTTTTTCATAAACACAGCCCAGCATGATCACATATCTCTTCTCTCAGACTAAACTCATTCTCCTGCTAAGATGATTCTTTTATGAAGAACTGACTCTTTGAGTCAGGCTACCCTAATAAAACCCAAACCTGACTAAATAAAGTGCTGTTACTGGCACTTTTGGTACTCATGTCAACGGAATACAGAAGAAATGAACACACAATGAGGCAGAAGGAACATATTCCTGATGTAATAGTTTTAGTTCCCTCAAGACAGAAATGGGAGAAAGAAAGCACACACCCTATTCACAGGGCTGACACAAAATGAACACAATGGACTTCTTTGAAATTTATAAGGGTACTTGAGAATTAAATTTCCAATGTGCAAAAATAGTTGTTTATATTTGAATGCTGCAGACTCACTCAAAAGTTTGAACCGCCAGAGGTGTATCAGTTTATACCAACCAAACTCTATTCCAAATTTACAGATTAAGAGTGTTTGCTGATAGTTAACATTATCAGATAGTATCAATGAGCTCTGGAAGAGCACTCAAGAGGAGGACAGTTATTTCCATTCAAAAGAAGTCATAGAATTGTGAACAATGTTACTCATATACCTCAATGGGACCTTTACACTTAAGAGGAACTAAAACCAGAACCAAAACACCTGATAAGAACCAGAAATATTCATATATAAGCAAAGATCACAAAAAAAGTTAAATGTACCCCTTTTCTATATAATTTAATTATATACTGTCTGAATTCTTTGTAATATAGCTCTGATACTAGACGATCATTATGAAATTGTTACTAATATAAATCAGAAGTGAACACCTGGGCTTTACTTCATCTCTCAATTCTTTTTCTGACATAGTACTTGTGACTTTTCCATTATGTTGTGCTCACACATATCTATATGCAATAAAAGGGATAAATAATAAAGATTACTCAGTAGAGTAAAATTAATGTCAAATTACACCCAGAAAAAGTACAAGATAATGGCAGTTATAATAGATCATATTTAGGAAATGCAGCAGCGCATATGATGTACCTTTAGCAGCTTATAGTAAAACATCTTATTCTGTATCAAGATAAAGGCAATGTACTAATGACTATGACTAAATCCTGACAGCCAAATGATCTCTTCTCCTTGTAACATTTTGTGGTGTAATGAGTAATCAGAACAGCAGAGCAGTAATTATGTACATTCACTTACACTAAAAGCATTTCTAACTGACTGAAGTAGTAAAAAAAAAAAGTGATATAATTATTTTCCTTACATTTACATTGGACATGCAATTCCCATGTTTCCTTTCTGGAAACAGGAGTCGTAAGAGCTTTTATTTTTCATTAACTTAAGATGTTCTTTCTTACTTTTAATTAACATTTACTTGAGGGAAGACAGGCATTACATAACACCCCTCTCATGTATTTTTTAAGGAAGCCATGGAAGCATACAGAATGATGCAGGCTTTCATATAATCAAAATCTGATGTGGAGGAGCAACCAAGTGCCAGTACATGACTCCTACCTAGAAGCAGCCAAAGGCATTTGATTAAATTAAGCAAGACAAAGTGTGAGAACCCTTCATGTTGTTTTAACATATTCTCTCAAAATCTGTGGGAGGAGGAAAAGAAAAAAAAAAAATTCAAAGGTGGAACAGGAATTTGGACATTTATTCAAGCTGATAATGTTCTAAAGCTCTGATCAACAAGGTAATGGGCAGAAAAATATTCTTGAAGCATAGATAAATATTCAGCCTCCAGACTGATTGATCTTTCCAGGTCAATAAGTTCTTCTAGTGCTATTGATGTGCTGTTCTATTTATGACCACAAATCCCATTTTAAAGTCTGTTAAAAAAAGATAGTGTTTCAGTGTGAAGTAAGATGAAACTTTATATATGCAGGTAAATCTAAACCATGCTCAAAAATAAGAGAAGGCAGTTCATAAAGTTCTTTAAATTCCCTGCCTGAATGTTGGGTTTGTATATTTTTTTTTACCTTTTCTTTTTTTTTCTTTTTAGCAAATTTTTTTTTGGCCAGAATTCAGAAGTCTACCTGAGCAGTCTAACCTTCACTTGCCATCAGCAGACTACCAATCTTATTAAAAATATATATACCATATTCATATAGAAGACTTACAAATATACAGTAGTCCTTGGTACTAGTTTCTAAATTCCAATCATCAAAATCACAGCAGAATTCTAAACACTGAGTAAGGTGAACAGAGACATAATATCCTCTTTGAACTTAACTTCTTCCACTGGTTTTCTCTATCTATCTGCAGTGTGCTTCTCTGTCACATGGTTAATACAAGTTCTGTAATGGCTTGGGAAGACATTCTGGTATCATTCCAAAATGCAGTCTGCACTGCCCAGTATTGCCCCATATTACTTTATATCACTTGTTTCTCTTTCCATTCAGCATTCTCACTCCTGCAAGAATAATTCCCATCTTTTCTAATTATTGCTACTTATCTTACATCTTGCCTTACAAAAGATAGTGCTTCCATGAGCATTATAAATTTGGGAAGGTATGGTTTTTTCTTGGAATAAAGATAGTTTTTTTTCTATTTCAGTATATCCTTTTGTCAATAAATTTTCTGGTCTTCCAGTTCTTGAGGGAAGTGCTCATAAAAACCAAATGCCAGTATGCTAATTTTCATCAGAAGGGCATAGACCATGCACAGTAACATACAAAATTTATTAGTGATGTACATTTCAGTGTCTGTAATATTTTAATGTAATGAGACCTTATACAATCTGTGTATATATATAAGAATACAATTGCACATATTGCTCTATATTATTATTCTCTTCTGTCCTACAGAATTACATATATAATTTTTCTTTTTACAGAAATGATAATATATTCTGCAATAAGAAACAGCTCTGTGTCTGCACCAATTCTGGGACAACTTGACTGTGGTTCATTTTATATGGTTCCGCTTTTTCTTTCTTTACACTTGAAAAATCTCGTATCTGTTATGAAGGTTAAAAATGATGGTGGAAAAGATAAAGATGAGAGCCTTATCTGTAGCTTTCCATGGAAGAGCAGTTAATTATTCATTAAACAGTAAAACTCAAAGACGCTGTCAGGTTCCAATAGGAAAACTCATACTGGCCAGTAAGGATGCCTCCTTGTGTAAATATTCTTCAAAACCAAAGTTTTGGCAATTTCATCAAAACTATGCTCCTCTAATCAAGATAAGAAAGTGTTTTGTTTGGGTTTTTTTGATTGTTGTTAAACAGATGGGATCTTCTTATACGTAACATTTTCTACCACTACTACCCTACTGTACAATTAAAAAGTTATACAAATTGAAGACTAGTGACCCAAATTAATTAAACCCATTTCTCCAAAGCCAAAACACAAGTTTTATTGTTTTAATAAATTCAGATTACCTTACTTGAACTTCACCACCACACTTCCATATCTTAATGTGGGACATTGCTTAAAAAACAGACATTCAAGCACATTTCTGCATGTTTCAGGAGAACATGGAATGTTAATTAAGGTATAGCTAAAGCACTACTTAAATGATTTGATGAAATGAACCATCCATAGAATTAATTAGAGCCACCTTACTGATCTTTCCTCCATTAAATAAAGATTTTGACCCAAACAACTTACCTGCTAATTAAAGCAATCTCCTATATTTAGATTTCAATGTTATTAAAGTGAAGAGGATTGATAGTATTTTCCTTCATTATGATTAAGACATTTTTAATCTTTTCAAGAAACATAATCATTTGCAAACATTAAGAAGTGAAAAGGAAATTGAGAGATAGTGACAAGAAGGAGAGACAAATGGAAAAAGTACTGTGATCTGCATGGCACAAAGAGCTAAAGAAGATTTGATACTAATTATTAATGCTATATCCATAATCTACTTAGCTTCCCATCAGGGCAAGAAGCCAAACTAATTTGTTTTAATCTCTATTTCTGTACTTACCAAGGTGTTTACTATTTCTTCTGTGCTCCAAAATTAATAGTCTGTATTCCAGGAGAGATCCAAAAAAAGATAGAGGTTCCTATGCTATTGCAAACAGCAAAGGACCCAGGAGTACTTCCCAAAATGGTGTCTGAATCGTCAAAAGATACCTGTTGCCAAGGACATCTAATTTCCATTGGAAAACTTGGCCACACAAGCAAGGACAGAATATTGCCATGCTTCAAAAGGCCTCCAGTCAAAATGGTCAGGAGAGCAGGGCAAACAGTACTCCATGAACTGTATCTGACCACAACACAAGCATAGCTTTACTAAATCTTTCAAGGTCAAGGCATTTCCAAAGCTCTTAGAAAGGCAAAGCAGTCTAAGATAGAAGATAAAATAGGGTCTTAAGATTCGCCAGAGGCTGCCTAAGTTTTATTCCATGAACAGAGCAAAGACGGCAGAAAAGAAAGAATTTGCAGTTCTCTCTACTGTTTGTTTTGGGCAGAATTTTTTCAGCTCTTCCAATAAAGGTGAAGCAGACCAGCCTGGGGAAAAAAAAAAACAACCCACCCGCAAACCCCTAACAGATCATCAATCCAGCCAACTACACCAGTCAGCCAACTACTCCATTCAGCCTGCGGTGTCTTTTAATTCTGCAGGAGAGCACTTTGTAGTACTCTTACAAACTTTTCATGTCCTTCAATCATCATCCTTCCTTCTTTTGATTCACTGTGTCTTGCACTAATTAATTACATTAATTAAAAAGTGTTTTGAAAACTGATCCTGAGCTTGATCAATCCATTCAATAGTTCTTAACCACATCTGCACCTAACATGGGAATTTTCTAGTGTGTAGACTGTTGTTTTCATCATTTAAATGAGACCCTAACTGTAATCACAATGCACATATATAGCAATTAGTAGATTGGAGAATGTCATAGACAGAAATTTTAAGAAGACCCTCTCTTATATGTGAATGATAAAGAGGACTGATTCTCCATTCTTTTTTCTTTATCCCTCTCAAAATAGCAGTGTGCTTAAGTGATAGCCAGCAATAGGCAGAAAAATTGTCTGTATTCTTCAAAAATGTGATAAAGTGGAAAAAAATGAGTAAAAAAACATCCTAAAAGATAAACAGGAAATACTCATTGCTTTAAAAAAAAAAAAAATAAAAACCAGTGTGTCATCCTCCCTCTCCCCCTCCCCCCCGAGATTTGCTGATGTTTCTACAGTCTTAAAAAAAAAAATTTCCTTCTACAAATTGTCTTAATTTATAGCTTCACCATGTATGCACCACTTCAGTCAATCTGTGTCAACCATTCAGTTCACTGTACTGGCACTATGTATCCTTTCTTTTTTCTTTCACCCTCAGCTACAAAAATATACCCTGAAAAGGGACTGAAGATTCCCAGAGGAATGTCTTAGACCTCTCACTTGAGTTCAAACTTCTCCCAGATCAGCAATGTCAGGAAAAGTCCTTCTGCTAAAGGAGCTTCCATGACATAGGAAAGGACCCCATTATAAATGTCAAATGCAGCTGTCCAAGTGACAGTCCCAACAGAGGTGGTCAGGATGAAATTAATTGCCCTTTCATCACAGACGATACTCCTCCAGTTCAGTGTAGAAGTCTGTTAAGCAAACATATCTTAATGCTGCCAGGTGCAAACCTACTCTAAAAGAGAAACTCAGTCGTTTTTACCTCAAGATCTTGCAGCAGCACTAGGACACATTATTCAGTAGTTTGTTCTGCATGCACACACAATCTCCTGACTCTTGTTCAGCTGTCTGGTTAGTACATAAGGGCGGAAAAAAAGCTGTCAGCACTAGAGTCAAGCTAACACATTTCCTGAATGCTTTGAAACCCATGGCCTCATCATACTTTTGCAAGCATAGATGGTGTCCTGGCTCAGTGTAGGTGTCTGCTTACTTAACAGTAACAAAAGTTTCCTTCAGCGACTGTTGCGAAATATTACCATTCTGGAGCTCCTGCCTTCTTTTACAAGCCTTGTAATCATTGCTAGTAAGGCATTGTACTGGCCTGGAAACAGCAGGGAAGGAAAACCACAACTCTTAGCAGCACAAACCTGAGGATTTAGGAGACACTTGGAGAGCAGTAGTATTTCTGCAGGGAGATAAAGACACAAACATTCGTAAAGCACCATAAATCTGTACTTCTGATGGAAAACATGAATTAGAGGATCAGAATCGCATTTCTACTGACAGATGCCCAATGAACAATCAAAACATTTAATAGGAAGCATGAGCCTGATAGTCTATAGATCTTCTTGGGTGCATGTTGTGAGTAATAATTTATCCACTTAGTAGATACATGCTTTGTACTCCCACATACTTCACAGCATCCTCATGGCTATCAGAATCTTTAAATAAAAGAGTAAGTCTCCTGCACAAAATAACAACTACTTTCCCTCAGAGATAACAGTAAGCTCAGAAGCACCAAAGATTTTATTGCTGGTATTTTTCTGTTGGTGCTGTATAAGAATTACACAATGCATTTCTTATGAATGACAACATTTCTTTGTTCTTTTTTGTATTAATTTTTGTACTTAGTGCAATAGCTCCAAGGAACAGATGATTAATGCTAGGTTACTGAGAAGGACAGTTTACAGTATATAAGCCAACTTTGTAGTAGTAAGACTAGTCTCAAAAGGTGTTTATTGAAAATGGTATTTAATAATGCATATTCTTACCTGCTATCTCATCAGTTCCAACCAGGTTATAACTGGTATATCTCTCTTCCCCCCCTCCGCTTCTGGTCAACATTGCTCCATCACTAACATAGTCACTATCCTTATCAATGCTTTCAATGAAGCAGGTACAAACAGCTCTCTCACCTTCTGTTGTTTTTTCCTTTGTGTAATGCTCACATACCATGCGCAGTTAACAACTCATTACTG